CAAAAGGGAAATCGAAGGATAAAAACCTACGTGTAACTTTCTAAGGAGGCGTTTACTTCACCGGTTATTAAACGGTGCTTATTAAGACCCGTGTTAATAAGCGGTGCATAAAATAAACAATGTTGTAAGACTGTGTTTACTTCAAACGGTTTAAAACACCGCTTAACATTAAAATGTCCAAAATAACCCTATACATATATACACACACAAACATTCATGAACACAAGTATATAATATAAATGTGTACCCATACCCCCTAACCCCTTACCCACCCTACCTTACTCTGACCCCACCTACCCCCTACCCCTACCCTACCTACCCGACCCTACCCCTACCCGATCCCACCCTACCGCGACCCTACCCCCAACCCCATAGGCCCCTACCCCCATACCCCCTTACCGCATCGACCCCACCCTGACCCCACCTTACCCTACCTTACCCCAACCCCGCCCCTACCCTACCTTACCCCGATTACCACTACCCTACCCAATCCCACCCTACCCCTACCCTAGCTACCCGACCCCACTCTGCCGCAACCCTACCCCCGACCCCACCGCACCTACTCTGCCCCTAGCGCCTCTATCACATTGGCCCCACCCCGACCCCACCACCCCAACCCCACCACCCTAGGTATAGGGTGGGGGTAAAGGGTGGGGTCGGGGTATATGGTGGGATGGGGTAGGTGGGGTAAGAGTATGGTGGGGTGACTGCGGTCAGGTAGTGGTAGGGTGGGTCGGGTAGGTAAGGTAGGGTGGGGTTGGGTAGGTGGGGTAGTGGTAGGGTGGGTTCGGGTAGGTAGGGTGGGTTCAGGCGGGGTATGGGGTAGGGTCAGGGTAGGGGTAGGGTGAGGTCGGATAGGGTAGGGGTAGGGTGGGGTTGGGTAGGTGGGTAAGGTTTGTGGTCTGGTAGGTAGGGTAGGGGTGGGGTCTGGTAGGTAGGGTAGTGGTAGGGTGGGGTCGGGTAGGGGTAGGATGGGGTAGGGTAGGGGTAAGGTGGGGTCAGGTAGGTGGGGTAAGGGTAGGGTGGGGGTCGGTTAGGTAGGGTAGGGGTGGGGTAGGTAAGGTAGGGGGTAGGGGTGGGGTAAGGGTAAGGGTAGGGTGGGGTCGGGATAGGGTAGGGGTAGGGTGTGGTTGGGTAGGTGGGTAAGGGGTGGGGTAGGTTTGTGGTCTGGTAGGTAGGGTAGGGGTGGGGTCTGGTAGGTAGGGTAGTGGTAGGGTGGGGTCGGGTAGGGGTAGGATGGGGTAGGGTAGGGGTAAGGTGGGGTCAGGTAGGTGGGGTAAGGGTAGGGTGGGGGTCGGTTAGGTAGGGTAGGGGTGGGGTAGGTAAGGTAGGGGGTAGGGGTGGGGTAAGGGTAAGGGTAGGGTGGGGTCGGGATAGAAGGTGTAGGGTAGGGGTGGGGTAGGTGGGGTTGGGGTCAAGGTGGGGTCGGTAGGTAGGTGGGTCAGTGGTAACAATAGGGTAAGGGCAAGGGGTAAATTCGGAAACTGAAAAAGCTTAAAGTGCCGCTTAATTAATACATGGGAGTGTGGTAGGCTTAGTAAGCGGCACTTTAAGCACCTATTTCGGTTAGTAAGCGGCTTTTTAAGCAGCGTGCGTGTTTACTTCACCTGTCTTACTAACCTAACTGTGACTTTAGCAGCGAAGTAAACGCCTCCTAAGTTTGGTGGCCCTATTCGGCTATTTCACAGTTCATACTAATCCTAGAAAGTATTGTCTTCATTAATCTTCATTAACGAATTCTCTTGTCTCAAACAATTATCTCAAGGACTTCTCATGATTTCATGTCTTATCAATTCCAGATAAAAAATCTGGACATATACATTATACTATGGTCTATGTACTACTATGGTATACTAGTATAACATTATATGGGTAGCTAAGCTAGATGGCGTTAATCCTTATCAATCAATACACCATTTTCTCATGTATTCAAGCAAAGCATTTGTATGAAATGGAGATTAAAATATAAGAGTATCATCACCATCTACCCCTCGCTTCAGAATTGCAGTTCTTGAATTACTTAATAATACAAGAACAACAAACTTGAAGCATTCATGCAATAATGATAAGAATGATATATTAGGCATTAGCACCAGCAACAATCTCCAAGATTTCACCAGTAATCTTTGACTGGCGCTCTCGGTTATATGATATAGACAGTGTCTTCTTCAAATCATTAGCATTGTCAGTCGCACTGCTCATCGCACTCATCCTGGCAGCCAACTCACTGGCCATTGATTCCTGCAGTGCTCTCAGAATCTGACTGTTCAGATACAGAGGCAACAATGCATCCAGTATCTGAATCGGGTCCTGCTCGAATGCCATGATCGGCGAGAACTCCGGTGTCTCTCGCCTCCTCACGTCCCTCTCCACTGTGAGTTTCCCCTCTCTCGTCGTCAGCCTGAAGAACTCATCCTCTGCTGCATCCACACACTTCCCGTTGATATCGCAGACCTCCCCGATCGGAGAAATGGGGAGCAATGTTTGAATCACTGGCTCTGATTTCACCAGAGATACGAACTTTGTGTACAGAAGCTCAACCTTGTCCACCTCTTCACTGATGAAGAGTGAGTAGACGTCGTCGGCTATCGCCTGGGCATCTTTAGAGGTGGGCAGAGAAGAGCCGTCGAGAAACCTATCCACAGGAATGTGGGGTCTACGGCTGAAGTAGGAGTTTCCCTTTTTACCCACGCTTATCACAGTGTAATCAATCCCAAGGCTCTTTATGTCAGAAATCCTGGCCTCTGCTTTTCGGATGAGGCTATTGTTGAACCCGCCGCAGAGTCCACGGTCGCCGGTGATAACCACTAAAGCAACCTTCTTCACTGGCCTAACAATTCAAAGGCAGAATATTAATTCATTTTAATTTGAATTCTAGATATGTAATACGGAGTAATATGAAATAATTACATACTGACGGGATTAAATAAAGTATAAAATGTGACTTTTCAAGTGTAAGCTTACCGTGACCATCAGTCATTTTAGTCCTAATAATTTAGGGAAATTGTCCTAAATATGAGTATATACATGTGTTTATTGGACTATAATGTTTTTATTACTTGAATATGAGTTATTACTGTCGTGTTTTGACAGTATCAACTTTAAAAATAACAGTAATTTCCAAACTTAGCAGTAATTACTCATATTTAGAAAATTAAAACATTGTTGTCCTATTTTAGAATTCTCATACATTTTTAGTCATTCGGAATTTTCCCAGTAATTTATTAGTATTTTACTCCTTCCGTAACTTTAAAATCTTCTCACTTTCCTTTTTCGTCCGTAACAAAAAAACTTCTCATTTCTAAATCTTCCCATCATACCCCAATAATTCTGAAAATAATTCACTATTACAACTACTTTTTTTGGATTTATCCTACATTCCATCACCTTATTCCACTATTTTCCTATCATACCCTCAATAATTCATATTCTCTCTCACTATTGTTAATCTACCTACTTTTCAAATGAGAAGATTTTAAAGTTACGGAGGGAGTATATTAGATATTTACATACTCATATCATCTCTGGGCCTCTCGGGTGTTTGGATCTGATTTTTAAAACTGAACTAAAGCTGTTTGGGTGAAAGTTCAGAAGTTATTATGCTCTAATTTGCTTCTAATTAGTTCCAAACACCCCTCCGTCTCATTAGGATATTATCAACTTTGAATTGAGTACAAAATAGGAAAAGTAAAGAGAGAAAGTGGCAAACTGTAGTCATGTATTATTAGTAAATAAGTCGAGAAAAGTTCTAATAATATTGTAATCGATTATGATTAACTGATTAACGATTTAGGAACTGATGGAACTGGAATTAATATGTAGAAATAAGTAATTAATTAACCCGCAATTAATTAACTAATTAATCTCCTAGTACCTAACGCGAGTGAGAGGAATCTCATTGACAGCATCGGACTGTTGGAGCTGTTCGTTAATGTTATAGAGAACCTCGACAAGGGTCTCAGAGAACGGCCGGCCGTTGACCACAGCTTCCTGAGCTCTCCTCACTTTGGCGGCGGCCACCAGCTTCATCGCCTCCGTGATCTTCCCCGTGTTTTTCACTGAAACTATGCGATCTCGGAGCTGGCGGAGGTCGCATCGAATCGACGGCCTCGATGTGGGGCAGGGGAGCGGTGAAGAATTGGGAGCAGGGAGGTGGTTAGGGTTGAGAGAGGAGGCGAAAGAGAGCGAAGAGGAAGCAGAGGGGTGGGTGGACGATAGAAGGATTGCGGGATGGGAGCATGCCATGATTAATTACGCTCCCGAGTTAGCTTGCAGAAAAGCTCTGAGATGAGATTTTGGTGGATGTGGGATGGACGGCATTTTTGGAAATGAAACGAGAGGTGGAGGAGTGGGGATGAAGACATTTGGATTTTGGATGAGGTTTGTGCCTTTGTGGATAAAATTTCTTGACCGGATTTCGTTTCATCTTGAATTTTTTGTACAATCATCTTATTCCAATTATCTAAAATCGGAATTACGAGATTGTCAAGAGGTCGTTTTGACCCTTATTTGACCCTTCTCCCTTTCCTAAATTTAATGATGTAATTGTTAAGAGGCAACTCTTTTGAAATATACTCATGAAAAAACAACCAAAACTCGCAGAATGAACACGTGTTTAATGAATGTACAAACGAACCTATATAAAAACTTCAATTACTAATTCTAGATTCACAAATAATGAAATAAAACAATGTATATCGGGAGAGCCAATTTTGTAGACATTTGTGTGAAAATAAATTGTCCGGGTCTAAAAGCAACATGGAAACACATATTATTCCGTTCGAGTAGGTAAGTCAATCACACCTTTATACGAAGTATATGATAAAAAAGATTATCTAATCCAAGTCATACTTTTTATGGTAATTTCCAAACAAAATTCATAGGAAAAAGAAGTGGATAGAATCTAAAAATCTAGATTAAGCTGATTCTTTAAGGCACACCAAGTCAAATTACATCATCTTTACATTTAACAATTCAATGGTTAAATCAGTTTACCCTGTGTTCACACCACATGATAGCAACAATAAAAAAGATTAACAAGATCAAGCAAAGTCATCATTGACTTGATTATAAACTCCACACCCCTAAGGCGCCAACTACTTCCACCAGACCATGCATTCAAAGTTACATACACATATATACATAAACTGCTAAAGCATGACACCAAAAAATAAATGATAACGCATGACACAATAAATTTACAATGGAACCATGGGAATTAACAAACTTCAGCAAGGGAAAGCCCATTAACCCTCTTATTAATTACTACTATTTCGATTTACTTATGATGATAAGAAACAAAGCCCATCACAATTGCGCAATTTCTAATGGAGCTTGTTAGCAATATTGCATTGCTTTCTGATCTCGCCTTTGCTGCCAGTGAGAGGGTTGTTCTCAGAGAGAATGGTGATTGCTTTCGAGAACTGCTTAAAGAAGTAATCTTGATTCTTTGCCATTTTCTTCATGAATGGCTTCGTCCTCTTGTCTGTGGCCAGCTGGTGGTCCACAAGCATCAACCCCTTGTTCTCCAGAATATTCTTGTAGTAGTTATTGTCTAGTTTCATGGGGGTGCCTCTGTCATTCCTCACATACTGCACTGCCTTCGGGTCTGGGATCGGGTCCGGGCACTTCTTGAGCATGTGTGGGACATGATCAGGGTTCAGCTGTGGATCCACCTCTGGGTATAATCTGTGAACAAGCTTCACGCAGTGGGTTCTTCCAACACTGTGAGCTCCTGTTTATTAATTTACAAAATACTTGATTTAAGAAACAATGACAAAAATTACACTATGATCATAGTGGTATCTGTGGAGTGACTGTCAGGACCATGGTTTTGTTCAATTGTTCATAGCTTAGCCATTATTTGGTCCTAGAAATCTGTTTTGGAAGTGTTCAATGATTTTCTTTCGACTTATTTCAATAAAAGACCTGACTAGACTATATCGAATCATAACAAACAGAACCTCTGCATTTGAGTGCTAATGAACTGTCCTTAGTAATATTATAAGGAAAATGCATAGCATAAACTCTAAATAACTCTCAGAACCTAATGATTGTCGAGCATTTATTAAACCTTAATCCTTTTGTTCATATTTGATGATGCTAAACACTCTTCAACAAACTATTGTATCAGTATGTATGTGTACATACCTAGCAAAGCAACAACTCATATTTGAATTGTCTCTGTCACTTCATTTTGAACTATTGGAACTAAGTTTGTAGTTGTCTGTCATGTGAAATTAGTTTTGACACTCCTGGAGTTGTTGCTTTGCTAGGTAGGTACACATACATACTGATACAATAGTTTGTTGAAGAGTGTTTAGCATCATCAAATATGAACAAAAGGATTAAGGTTTAATAAATGCTCGACAATCATTAGGTTCTAAGAGTTATTTAGAGTTTATGCTATGCATTTTCCTTATAATATTACTAAGGACAGTTCATTAGCACTCAAATGCAGAGGTTCTGTTTGTTAGATTCGATATAGTCTAGTCAGGTCTTTTATTGAAATAAGTCGAAAGAAAATCATTGAACACTTCCAAAACAGATTTCTAGGACCAAATAATGGCTAAGCTATGAACAATTGAACAAAACCATGGTCCTGACAATCACTCCACAGATACCACTATGATCATAGTGTAATTTTTGTCATTGTTTCTTAAATCAAGTATTTTGTAAATTAATAAACAGGAGCTCATAGTGTTGGAAGAACCCACTGCGTGAAGCTTGTTCACAGATTATACCCAGAGGTGGATCCACAGCTGAACCCTGATCATGTCCCACACATGCTCAAGAAGTGCCCGGACCCGATCCCAGACCCGAAGGCAGTGCAGTATGTGAGGAATGACAGAGGCACCCCCATGAAACTAGACAATAACTACTACAAGAATATTCTGGAGAACAAGGGGTTGATGCTTGTGGACCACCAGCTGGCCACAGACAAGAGGAAGAAGCCATTCGTGAAGAAAATGGCAAAGAATCAAGATTACTTCTTTAAGCAGTTCTCGAAAGCAATCACCATTCTCTCTGAGAACAACCCTCTCACTGGCAGCAAAGGCGAGATCAGAAAGCAATGCAATCTTGCTAACAAGCTCCATTAGAAATTGCGCAATTGTGATGGGCTTTGTTTCTTATCATCATAAGTAAATCGAAATAGTAGTAATTAATAAGAGGGTTAATGGGCTTTCCCTTGCTGAAGTTTGTTAATTCCCATGGTTCCATTGTAAATTTATTGTGTCATGCGTTATCGTTTATTTTTTGGTGTCATGCTGATAAGTCCATTTTTGTACTTATTTTTCTTATCAAATTTAAGCGATTTTTGAATGAAAATAGAAAGAAAAGACACATTTTATATATTTTGGTTCAAGTTTCATGAAATCAGGTAAAAATCACATCCATAATATGTTTAGCGGGATTTCGGGTCAATTGAGCACAAAATGAGTCAATTTGAGTGACAAATGCATTTATACCGGAAGAAGAAAGCATTTTATCAAGGTGATTCAGAAGACAAAAATGAAGAGCAGGAAAAGCCGCATCTGCCAGACAAAAATGGCAGAAGGCGCCCAAATAGGCGCCCAAAATGGAGGCCTTCGCGGCCGCCTACGGGAAAAATCAGAAGTCAACCTCGCTTTGACTCGGGACCAGGAAAAGACCGAAGGCTACCGACACTGGACAGAAGGCGGCCGCCTACGGTGGCCGCCTGCGGCACAAGGGGACGAAACCAACCACCGGTCGGCCAGACAGGACGGCAGGCGGCCAGACAGGACGGCAGGCCGCCTGCTGGACATGAATTGACTAAATTGACTAAAGGAATATGGATTGACTTGTTGACCGAAAATTAGGGATTAAAATTAATAATTTGGACTAGTTGTTTGAAATGATGAAATAGTAATTAATAATTGTTAGCCATATTCATTAATTAAATTCTTGGAAAATTATTTCTAACTTGTCTATGAGATTAGAAATTAATTTAAGCCAACCATATTCAAGCACATTAATAAGGCCTAGAAATAGGATAATTTAATGAAAGGGATTTACATCTTGTCTATGAGAGATAAATTCAATTGCTTAAATAATGAGTTTAACTAGTTAATGAATTCGGCTATTTTTATTAATTAAAATATTGGAGAATTATTTCTACCTTGTCTATGAGGTTAGAATTTAATTCAAGCCAACCATTTTTGAACACATTAATGACGCCTAGAAATAGGATAAATTAATGAAAATAGTTTCTATTCTTGTCTATGAGGAAAGAAATTATTAGTCCAATTTTAGTTTTAATTTCCCTAATTACTAGGTCCAAGAATATATCTATTTCTAATTACTCAATTCATTGCCCTTATTTGCACCAATCCATTTAAGTTTAATATTATATTTTTTCCTTTAGTCTATTTTTGAGCCATCATTAGTATTTGCACAATTTAATTTACTTTCTTTTCCAAAAAGTAGTTTAGAAAATCAATCAAAAGTTTTAATTTGGAAAGCTTCCAATAATTTGCGATAACCTGTGACTGGACTTGAAATCAAGAAGCTCCTCCGCCATTCCTCGAGAGACACGATACTCGGGGAAAAACCGAAAGGTTAGACTCCGTTTTACTACAACGCCGCGAAAGCGGTTATCAAATGGCGCCGTTGCCGGGGAATGGCACGGTGATTTCTTGATTTTGATTTTAGCATGGGCAAATTCAAGTTAGGGAGACTTTCTTTTTCTTGTTTGTTTTGTTCTCACGTGTTTGCTTGAGATTTCCTCATGGATTACTCAAGTGAACACTTTAATTCTCAACCACCATATCACTATCCATACTATGAACAACAATCTTTTCAAAATAATCAAAATGAAGGATACTATGGACATGGTTATGAGGATAACAATCAATGGTGCGAAAATCCACCTTTGGGGTATGGAGATTACCAATTTCAAGAGAATTATTTCCACCAAGGGCAAAACTTTGAAGGCTGTGATGATTTCTCCTATCAAGGTAATTATCATGATGATTCTAATTATCATGAAAATTACCAAGAAAGGCTAGAAAATCATTACACCAGCACAAACGAGTACTCCTATGAGGGTAACTCTGGAATTTCACCTTATCCTCAACACGAACTCGAAGAGTTAAAATCGTCCTTACTCGATTTTGTGGAAGACTTAAGAAAGACAAGGATTGAACTAGCATCTCATGATGAGAGTATCAAGGAATTGTTTGAAAAAATCATTTATGACAATGCCCACAAAGTTCAACAGGAGACATACGAGGAAGGTGCTAAATCTGAGGAGGAGGTTGCGGTAACCATGGGCGAGATGGTTGAAACTCTTCTCACCCCTATTTCTTTTGAGCCTCTCATTGCTATTGAGAGAGAGCCTATCCTCGTAGAACTTAATTCTCAAGAGCCCCATATGAAAGTGCCCAATGAGGTTGATGAAGAAACCATAGATGATGAGATACTTTGTGACAAGGAACCTACCCTACCATCTATGGTTGACCTCTCATTTAAGGAGTGCCACAAAGATAGTCTTGGTGAAGATTTTGATCCTACACAAGCTCAAGCACCTGTTGAAATAGTTGATGAAACTTGTGATGTGAAGGAAACAATGTCCGATGATGCCTTCTTTGATTCTCTACTTGAGCATGTTGAGCATAGTTGTGCTAGGCAAAGACTTGTTTGCCTAGATGATATTTGTGGGGGTCGTGAGTTAGGAAGTTGGGATGCAGTCTTAGAGAGTGACACAGAGTCTAAACTTTGTGATTTTCATGTTGAGGGCATAGATGAAGAAGAGAAAACCCATCAAGAGGAGTATGCAATCTCTATTCAAGCTGCTTCTACCTTGAAGGCTCATTATGAGCGGTTGGAGACACCAGAGGCACCTGATCCTGAAATACTTGTTGATTATACTAATGAGAGTGATGCAGGATACGTGCTAATTCCTTGTTCGAACGATGTGTTCTTTGAAGATTATATCACATTTTGGTGGTCACAAGAGTTCAAGGGTCTACGCCATCTGACGGCATACCTGGAGGATAAGGTGGAGGCACTAATGATGAGTGCTCCACAACTGACATGCATAGCTGAGAGTTCTCTCTCAAACGTCAAGCTAGTGACGTTAAAGAAGCGCTTCTTGGGAGGCAACCCATGTTTTTCATAACATTGTTTGTTTGTTTTGTGTGTTTGCAGGGTGTGCTTCAATGTTGATGAAATAAGAGTTTGGCTTAGGCCTTACGGGAGGACACGGGTGATGCTTAGTTTTCTTCCTTAACATTTTATTGTGTTTGTTTGTTTATTCAGGTTGGACATTGTGCTGCTCTTTTGACTTAAATGCTCTTACAAACTAACTATGAATGATGTAAAGATTTTTTATTCCTGTTTCATTATTCCTCTTCACAAAATCTTTTCAAAACTCAAGTGTGAGGAAAGAACCAAAAAAAAAAAAAAAGGGTGTCTTTATTTCAAGGTTTTGTGCCTTAAAAGAAGACCTCGAGGGCGAGGTCTAGCTTAAGTGTGAGGAGATGGTTGTGTTTTACACTCAAAAGTTAAAAACTTATTTTAGAACAATCTTTTTACTATTTTTGATATGAAACATTAATTTCTCAATTTGTTATCAATTCACAAAATAGTTTAGAAAATCACCCTTATTATAAGAATTTACTATTATTATTATTTTTGAAAACTTAAAATTGTTATGGGTTTTTGGTTGCGAATGTAAAGGTCTGAATTTGTTTTAATTGGACATTCATTTTATTCATTAAAAAAAATGTTACTATTAATAAACCTCTTCAAAACTCATTGTTATAGGACAATTCCATCTCCGAAAAGGGGCTCTGTTTCATTCGTTAATCACAGTCTGTGAGAATGAAATATGCATTTACCATGGGATAACACCGCCAACAAGAGTGAAAAAGAGCAAAAAAAAAAAAAAAAAACAAAAAAAAAAAACAAAAAAAAATGGTGAACAAGATGAATGTCCAATTAGAATAATGAAAATCTTGGGATAAGGAATTGATTGGTGGTTTAACATAATAAATAGTTTTTCTTAAGTGATACTAATTTTAAATTCTTGTATTTTGGGTGATTTTTCTAAAATGTTTAAAAATTGAGAATAAAAGATGAGATTTTTTTTTCTACTTCTTTAAAATAGCAATTAGATTGTAATACAGTTAGGCTTTACCTTTTGAGTGTGTTTACAACTAATTCGTCGCTTGAGGACAAGCAACGCTTAAGTGTGAGGAGATTGATAAGTCCATTTTTGTACTTATTTTTCTTATCAAATTTAAGCGATTTTTGAATGAAAATAGAAAGAAAAGACACATTTTATATATTTTGGTTCAAGTTTCATGAAATCAGGTAAAAATCACATCCATAATATGTTTAGCGGGATTTCGGGTCAATTGAGCACAAAATGAGTCAATTTGAGTGACAAATGCATTTATACCGGAAGAAGAAAGCATTTTATCAAGGTGATTCAGAAGACAAAAATGGCAGAAGGCGCCCAAATAGGCGCCCAAAATGGAGGCCTTCGCGGCCGCCTACGGGAAAAATCAGAAGTCAACCTCGCTTTGACTCGGGACCAGGAAAAGACCGAAGGCTACCGACACTGGACAGAAGGCGGCCGCCTACGGTGGCCGCCTGCGGCACAAGGGGACGAAACCAACCACCGGTCGGCCAGACAGGACGGCAGGCGGCCAGACAGGACGGCAGGCGGCCGCCTGCTGGACCGCCTGCGGCGGCCGGGATCCGCCGGGATCCGCCGCGATCCGATTTGACCATGAAAAGACGGCAGGCGGCCGACGTGTGGCGGAAGGCGGCCGCCCTCTGTGGCCGCCTACGGCTGACGGGGACCGGCCACCGACCGCTGTCGGCGACGAGGACGGCAGGCGGCCGGAGAGAGGCGGAAGGCGGCCGCCTGGTTGGCCGCCTTCGGGGAAATTTCTGCTATAAATTGCCCGATTTTTCCTCAACTCAAACACACCAATTTCAAGCCCAAATCAGATCAAAAAGGGCGTCTTCTTCCTCCTCAAAGCTCGGATTTCCACCATTGTTGCACCTTCAACTTCAATCTTTCATATCTTTCTCATTTTAGCTCCAAATTGTGAGTTCTTTATATGTATTTTCATCCTTTCAATGAGTAGAATCTGAATCTGTACTTAGTTTTTTTTTATCTGTGCTTCTAAAATTTCCAGAAAATTATTCAACTATTTCGCATTTTCGTCTTAAATTTGAATAAAATAGTTGTTGACATTAAATCCATT